ATCTCGTAGATTGTAGCAGCTTTTCGTACGGAAAGATTAGGGTCATTTTTAAGAGCTTCGAGCGCAAGGATCATACGACTTTCTTTTGGAAGAGATTCCATGTTGTGTTGTGGAAGAAATTTCGTGATGAAGTTAGGTGGTTGTTGGAGGAAGAAAGTGCGCCACTCGTTATGCTGCGCCACTCGTTATGCAAGTACGTTATATAAGGATACTAATAATCACCCGGGCTCTATTGCCAAGGGTGTACTCCAAGTATACACTGAGCAACGAGAGGAGGAACGAAACTCTAGGCATCGAGAACCATATATTCGTATATACTCCCCGGAGCTACGTCATTAGCGCTCAAGCTACTCGCATAGTCGTAGCCCAAGCGCCCAAGGTACCTATAACCACAGCTAGAAACGCAAATATACTAGCGGAGCAGAGTCTGGCTGACCGGCCTAGACGGACGGCCTCTATCCTCTCTTAGATTGTTAGGCTCTATTTCCAGAACTCCGACCTTCCTATTACCCACCAGCTTACTATAAAGAGCTCCTTGCAAAAAGGAGCTGGAAAAGGATCTATAACTATATAAATAGGTCGACGCCCTCTACAAATATGTTGAGAGAGAGGTTATACTAGTACTAACTAAGGAGGTTAGGTTAGTAGGTAAATGGCAAAAACTAAGCCGGCTCTACTATATAAGTTAGTGCCTGCTTTGCTAGGATTTCCAGCAAAAATACTCACTGAATTATTCGGCTATCCTCGACTCTAGCTCTATAATCTATATATTTTAACTAGATTAGTCGCTTCAACAATTTTCGCACTGCGAGAGCAGGCGACAAGATATTTATAGGCAATAGAGAGCTTACTATTAAAGGATATAGCGTGATTGACATCTACCTCCGAAACGTAATTAGCGGTAAGCTCCTTCTCTACCTCGACAACGTAGCGTTTATTCCTGAGATCAGTATAAACCAAGTTTCGCCACGCCCGTTATATTTAAGAGGCATTTGGTAGGATACTCGTCCTTAGACTACTGTTCTCAGGCGCGTAGACGGCACCACGCTTAGTATATCGGAGGAGCGTTGTAGCCAGTTCATCTTGGACTATATCCCTAACGACTATAACCGCGCTATATTCTTTTACTCGCCGTAACCGCTTCAACTTATAGACCAAGCACGGCCTTTATAAGGTAGAGGCATTGCGTTAGTATCTGCGCCTCAGCCACCTAGGACCTAAGGCCCTGGAATACCTCGTTGATAGTCTAGAAGGCATTATAATTAAAGGACCAACGACTATACAGTGCGATTCCTATATATAAGCGAAGATAAAGCGCTAAATTCAGCGCGCTACCCGTAATCTTAATAGCTTTAAGCCAGGTAAGAAAATCGCCTTTGATTTCTATGACTTTGAGGCCTAGTATGCTACAGCTCTTTAATGCTACTCAACGACCATATATCAAGGTATATATATGACTACTACCTATAGGACTATACAACCGAATCTATTATCGCCGGGCTCACCAGTTTCCTCGGTATAATGGAATGCCAGTTTAAGACTAAGGTTAAGGACTTTAAAGCCGACAACGAGATCTATACTCTCAAGCCATGCATTGAGGAGTAGATTGAAGAGCGGAGCATCAGACTCAAGCCCTCGCCGCTATATATGCAAGCTCGCAATAGCGCCGCCGAGCGCTGAGGGGTTTAATTAAGGAAAAAGATCAATATAATGAGAAGCAGTTTGAAGCTCCTAATCTCGCTTTAGCGGGAAATCAGCAAAGCCGCCATCTACCTCCTCAACCGCACTCCACGCCGGCGAATCAAGTGGAAAACGCCTTTCGAAATCTTCATTTCAAGACCCAACGAGCACCGTAAGCCTAACCTCACAAACCTTCGTACCAATAGGTGCAAATTCTATATAATAATAACTACGGCGATATTGAAGGAGGAGCACCTTAAGCGCTTTATTTAATCCAAAGGCCTGGATTAGCTGCCTTGTTAGTTACATATCATCCAATATATACTAGATATGGAATTCAGTCACCAACCAGGTCAGATATCTATACCTACGATATAATGATTGTAACGGCACGGCTGGTCGGGTCGGCAACGCCCGGCGACAGGTGCCAGTTGTTACAGCTTCATAGTGCAGCTAGTGATTCAATCTGTCGGATTGAATCATTTGTACCCTTTTCTAAGAATATGGCGCAACGGTATGGCTGCACGTTGTGTGCCGTTACAATGTTCAACAAGCAGGAGACTCTCAGCAGAGTACTCAAGGAACTCGTAACAATATCCGAGAGATTGATCGAGATAAGCTAGCACGATTACTTGGTAGGGTTCAGTATCTTAGAGTAACTAGATAAGCAGGTTAACCGCGTACCTGCTCCTAAGGGGGTGGACAACACGCTACTTTATAGATAGGTCAGCAGTTAGAGAAGCAGTTAGCTCAGAGTATTCAGCAACTAGCTCCTCTCTTAGGGACCTCGTTCTATATACCCAATATATATAGCTCCTACTATATAGAGGGCTTGCCTATGTAGGAATCTTCTCAAGTAGAAGAAGCCATTCAAAATAGCACTTTCTACGCTAGAGCTCTTACAGTGAGGTTCCTGCTAGAAAGGCAAGAATGAACTATATAGACATATAGAAAAGGGCCTTCTACATAGGTACGAAGGTAACTATAGTTAAGGCTGAGTATAGCAGATCGGTTACTAGGCCGACTCTCAGCGTTTATAGCGCTTAGGGAAGCGTGTCCATCGGAAAGATATACCAGTATCTCCGAATCGACATTCAGACCTTTAGGACCATCCTCTTAGAAAGCTCTTCGCATAGGCTAAGGCTAATCACCTCTGGAGCTACGCCGAGATGCAATCCTAGATAGAGATTTCCAGCTATAACGAATAGAATAGAGGGTATAAGGTGCTTGATTAACGTACATTATCAGCGAATGACCCATATCACCGGGTGACCCGCTTTCCACTATCATCTCACAACTATGCTCAATTAGAATACATCAACATAAGGAAATAACTACAATCGCATCGGAAACAGCTGAATCAGTTGATTCTGCAGCCTCCTGGCAGGTACGTGCATTATGGCCAGGCATGCCGCACACACCACAGCACCGAACCTTCGTACGGCCCCCCCCCCCCCCCTGCATCACCACCATCCGGCTGCATTTCTTGCACTCCCTCCCCAGACATAGCCGCCTGTCCAACAGATCGTGTGCATCCTGCACAGCAAGTGACCCTCCAAGCCGCACACGTGTCTTTTTGGCTCTCCGGCGCTTGTTTAGTGCCTCGTTGGCCTCGCGGAGCGAAGAGACCTCTGCGCGAAGAAGAGCCACCTCGTGCATTACAGCCATTATACCCTTGGTAAGCTGGTCCACAGCATCCAACATCGAAGTTGGGAGCTATTATGATGGTTGGCGATGCGAGTCTTGGTGAGTGTTGATTGCGCATTGGCTTCCTGGGGGTTGTGTGGTGTCTGGAAGACCCAAGGTTGTGGAGTGCCGGCCCGTGAGTTTAGAGGTGTTGGCGTACGAAGCTTTACATCCAGTTTGGAAAGCACCCTCTCAGGATCGTACGGCACTAGCCCCTGCAAAGCCACCCGTATCTTTTTCTCCGTCATAGAGGCGAAGAAGGCCTCTCGGAATGCACAGAGGAACTCGAGCTTGCTCACGTGAATAATATGCATGCGAACTAAGTGCTCGATCTAGCGGCCATATGCCTGCTTCAGTAGTCCAAAGCAGCCGACATCGAGTGGCTGGAGCTTGTGTGAAGAGTGCGGAGGCATGCAGAGAGCGTAATGATGTTGTTCTGCTGGCAGTAGAGCTCGAATTCGGTCGAGTGGTGGCTCTCGTGGCCGTCGAGAATCAACAACCGGTATTTACCCTTTGTCCGACGCGCCGTACGGATTATAGTAGTCGAAGTGCTTGATCCACTCTAGGCCAACCGCATTGGTAGTCCAGCCATTGTCAGTAGTTGCGATGCGCCAGTCAGCTGGGAGGTTGCACTCGGTGTACCAATTAGCGACGTGGTACTGCGCGGCTAAGATGATGGAGGGAGGGATAGCCCAGCCGAGGGCATTGACTGCCTGGATCACAGTTGCCCATTCGCGATTGCCAGGCTGGGCCAGTTTTGCTTTGCCACGGCCATCAGAGGTCGTAACTACCTTGCCCGCGAAAATGATGCCCATCATAAACCCGACTCGTCTAAGTTATAGACATCATCAATCACGAAGTTATAGACATCATCAATCAAGTTATAGACATCATCAATCACGAAGTTATAGACATCATCAATCACGATACCGGACTTGGCCATAGTATTCCATACGAGCGTAAACCACTCGCCAATGACCTTTGATCCTCGCACTTGGCCCTCTGGTAGTCGTATTTACGCGTGAATCGCGTACAGAGCTGCGGTTGGCGCTTAGACAAACCGATGCGCCTAGAGCTTGCCGACAGGAGGCGCGTCGCGTTCGCGGAGCAGTTGGTTGGCCATATCTTCCACACCACCTAATCCTGGGAGAAATCCTCGCGTAGAGAGCTCATTTATATATCGAACAATAGCCTCCTCTTCCAGTTGCGCAGGCTTTCTCGAAATAGGCGTAGTATCGCATCGTACAGGCTTGCCGGCGCGTCGGCGCGCTAGAGTTCTACGGTCGACTCCCTAGACCTTTAGCTGCGGCTCGTTCGCTTAGATTCTGATCGTTTTGAAGAGCTTGGAGGGCCAAAATTATCTGGCCTTCTTTTAAAGTAGAGAGCATCTTGGATGGCGGAGGAAAGTTGTTGTTGCGCATAAAGGTGTCGCGTCACGTAGAAAGTGGGTCACTCGGTGTTATGGGTCACTCGCTGATAATGTACGTTATAGATAGGTTTACATTCATAAGTTCAACAAGTATAGAAGATTTCTTAAGGCGAAAGCTAGGCTGCTAGTTAGAGGGGACCAGCAGTTAAAAGGAGCAGCAGAGTAGGAAGATTATTCAGGATAGTAATAGCGATTACTACGCGATTCGACCTCGAGTTGTTACAGTTTGGTATAGTCAATACATTCGTCAACGTAGATCTGGACGAAGATATCTTTATATATATACCAACCACCAAGGCACCAGCGGCATCAGACGACCCTTAAGCTGAATAAGGCGCTCTATATAGCTTACGTCGCTCGACACTTCGCTAGCAACGAACGCTATCTAGAGCACTTAATAATGAGGCAGTGCCCTACGAACCCTATGTATTTACTAGGAACGGAGTTATCATCTTCTTCTACATCGACGACATTGTTATCGCTTTCCGCGAGTCCCAGCGCCAGGATGTACTTAGAACATTAACTCAGCTATACTCCTGCTATCAACTAAATGGCATCGAGCTACTCTAGTAGTTCCATGGTATAGGGACTCTATATAACCGCTTAAAATACTTACTCTAGCACTCTTAGAAGTTATATATTGACAAGATCGCTATACTCGCCTACATAAAGACTAACTTAGGGTCACACCTATAAATAAGGAAGAATTTCTGGTATTCAAAGGCGAGGGAGGCTATTACTTGCGACATTACTACCTACCTCTGTAAAGTTAGCTCCCTGCTATATACTACCGTTATTATATGCCTCGACATTGCTTTGCTATCTCAAGACTCGCTCGCTTTATAACCAACCCTGGACCTGCCTACTAGAAGGCCGCTAACTAGATACTCCTGTACCTTAAACGGACTAGCACCCTCGCCCTCTGATTCGGTAGAGCAGATGTTCTGTACATTGCTAGCGATACTAGTTTCGCCGATAACTCTCTAGACGTCTGGACCCCGCAACGGAATCGGCCCCACACCACCATTCCAGACATGACTAACTTCAACACAACACAACTCATCCGCTTCTGGGCCAAATTCAACATGACCGCAATCCGGGAAGAGCCTATTCAATTGGCTATAGTCGAGGTTTAAGAAGGCCTTTGTTCCCAGAAAGATGCAGCGGAAAAGTACAGCATCCCACAGTCTACCCTGAACCGACG